GAATGTGACTACATGATTTACCTCTAGTTGATGGGCAATTAGGTGTCTTCATCGTATCTAGTGCATTGTGCGTTTCTGATGTATCAGTAATGTCAAATGCATCTAAGCTATTTTTTTCAAAAAAAGCAGCGACTTAGAGGTGTTTTTTTTAAGACAATAAGGTGCCTAACAGTAAAAAGATGAGAAAATGCCCCTGACGTGCCTTCAAGACGCACTGTGACGCCAGCCGAGTGGTTGGTTTATCAAGACACTTTTTTTTAACAGTGTATAAACTAGTGATATTTAAAAATCTTCATAATCACAATCCGTTGTGGAAGTGAAAGGGACTTTTTTTATCGGTTTTATCCAGAATTGTCGTTTTTAAGTTGCAGTTTTGGATGAAGGTTTATTCTATGAATGACTGCCTGTTCTTTTTTATTTTTGAATGATGTACATATTATCTTCATAATGGAGGGCAAATTAGTCATCATCAACGTTAAAACAAGGACAAGACAGACAGTATGTTGGTTAATCCCTATAAAGTGATTTGGAGTAAAAAGAAACACTTTTGGTATTTCTGGCGTATTTTTGCGAGTTCTCAATTGTTTCTGATCCGAAAAACTTACTACTCTCTAAACAAAAAGGTATTCTATAAAAACAAAAAAGAATATTTCAGTCCTTGGAAACCAAAACTAGTTTCTATTAGAAACAAATGCAGATGTCCTTGTTTTTTGGTTCTGTGAAGCTAGAAATACCTTTATCGATATTTTAAGGTATGGATCCTTTATTGTCACAATCTAATTCACTAGTTTTACACATTGTACAGATGAACGTCGAGTCTCTCACACGTTGTTTCAGCCAACGTTTCACAGAAATATCCTCCAGATCCGTTTTTTCAACCATGCCTGGCTAAATTTCGTTTTATGTACCAGCATAGATATAAAGAATATATCTAAAACTACATTCGAATCTAAAATTGCTAGAACTCAGGTATTTCCGTAACAGAATCATCAAAAAAGAGAAAAAAGAAAATGACGGGAAACGGGGGCAAAGCAGATCATTCACAACTGAGGATATTTTAAAATATGGATAAGGGTATTTCTAGCTTCACAGAACCAAAAAACGAGGATATCTGCATTTGTCACTGATAGTAACCAGTTTTGGTTTCCAGGGATTGAAATATTCTTTTTTTTTGTAGAATACCCTTTTTTTAGAGAGTACTCAATAGTAGACCGATTATTTTTCTACTGTAAAATCTTCTATGAATGAATGAATTTATTGTTGTAAAGTAATCTTCGTTACTTTTAGAATCACACTTCGAAGTACTTTAATTCATATCTGCCGGTTTATTACATCTCCAATTTGTCTTTTAGAGCGCAAACAAATGATCATTAGCTAAAATGACAAACTAAACAGAGGCTAGACAGGGTCGAAAGGTGCCAAATGTCCTTTTGATCTAGAAATAGCCTCTCACATATTTCAAATTCTTCTTTGTACATTTGGTATAGGGATGTGCAGGTGATCATCAACACATCACACCACTAAAAACTATTCTATAGCAGTTTTTATAACGATACATCCGTATACGTATGATCCTCACAATATATTGCAGTGGTGTTATGGTGCGATATATCCAGGCGTTCCGACGTTCGCGAATGATTTGATCATCATGATATACCCACATAAGCCATTAAACTGTACGTTTAATTATGTACAGCCCATTACGTTGCTATTTACTCCGCTATATACTTTTCTGGCAGAATCTGACAACCACTTGGGATGAATTACTGCTCATCAGTACGATCTAACCAGTCATGCTAAAGGAAGAAAAACTTAGAAACTTATAAACATTTTACTTAAAAGCGGACGCACTTATGTTAAAAGTTTGAATAAATTCCAGGTTTTAAAAGTTTTCTATAAATTGTCGATGATTCAACATCTTATAACGTTAGGTTTGGTGTTTGTCGCTATAGTATTTCTTATCGTGATAAATGCGATGCATGATGGATGACTCATCTATCCAGTCGAATGCAAAAGTTAGTGTTATAAACATGACAAGTATTGAAAGACGTTCTGATATTACGTTATCCATCGAGAAATTTGTATTGCTCTATACTTTGCTACATCCTATTATTGTGTTATTGCTAAGATTAACAAATGAAGACTTGAAGTATCATTGAAAGTGTCATGGCATATAGTCCAGCAGAAAGAAGGCATCGTAATAATCAGTAGAAATATTCTGATTTAAATTCGGCTATATTGGGATAAAAATTAACGATGCATATACCCATTCATCTTGCAATAATTTCAGTTATCCCGATATCGTTCGGTTATATTTTACTAGTGTTTATCAAAATATCGGTTTCATCGCGATAGCGTCCCTAAATATTAGAATGAAAATTGTATGCCGATAAACGGCGATACAATGATATCATGCTATAATAGGATAGCTGAAACTGTTGCATATGAGAAGGATTCATTGTGTTAACATTAATATCACAATATAGCGGCTGCTCTGACATCAAAGTTTATCTGGATAAAAATCAGCTTATCGCCATATTTATTAGTTTTTCTACTTTTATCGAGATATATCGTTTTTTCTATACTTTTGTCCTCATGGGCTATACGGCTGACTTGTGTGCAAAAAGTTTTTGATTTAACTTGAACACTTCGTTTACTGGAGATCCCATATTATCAGTAAATTTTAACGAAACTTGCATACACATCACTCCTGATTGAAAACCCTTTCAGCTATTGTAATTACTATTCGGATTTGTACTGACTATTATGATCGATCAAAAGGCATTAAAAATAAACCGTTTGTAATTTTGCACAGAACTGCATAGAGTGGTGACAGTCAGAAGACTATCATCTTTTAGTCGAATGTTATTTAGAAAATGGCGTACTGTACCCTTTTTAATGTAAATAGCAGCAAACAAATGAAGTTAATTACTATTAGATGCATAACTTCACCGTCTTCAACTTGAAGTTTAGGCATGCAACGGTCCCAAACTAGAACTCGCTGATCGGCAGCGAACAGTTCGATACTCAATATGTTCGGTTACCAAACGGTTCGCTGTCGAACGTGTTTGGCCTAAGAAACATGATGCAACCGTAAGTGTTCGCTGATTGATTGCAAAAATGATCATTTTTTTTCGTAAAAGAGTTAAATACCTTTAGCGTCACGCATCACTTCTATTAGGAAACCACAAAACTTTTGAATGAATGAATGAAGCAACGTTTTATAACGCAGTTCAGTAGAGATGCTATTCATTAAACCATTATATCTTATTTATTCTCTAAGTAAAGCACACTTTACTTATATGGCCCCTGTGGCAGATTGATTTACTTTGTTTTTATACAAAAATGCTTTACTTCACTGTATGAATAAAGTAGATAGAAAGTTGCACCCTAATTCGAATGCATCTTTATAAGGTTTATGTTACTTTTTATTAACAGCTCCTCAACAAAGCCCACGCCAGTATCTAAGATGAAAAAAATATAAACTATCTTAGTTACAATCTTCTTTCGAACACGTTCGGTTGCATCAAGTTTCCAGGCCGAATACGTTTGTATGGCTGAACTACTGGATTGGTGTATACATAGTGAAGTTTTTGTTTATTGCTAATCACTTGCTCTTCAACTGATCATTAACATTTTATAATTGTCAACATTTTCTCAAAATGTTTAATAACGTTTAAATAAAAAAAAAATCAACAAAAATTTTAATACAACAATATTCGTAAAGCAAACACTAATATAATTTTACTTATTTTTTCTGATTCTTTCTTCATTATAATATATTAACCGTGAAGTGTGTCACAGTTTTTGTATACATATAAAAACAGTATTAGTCAAATACTGCTGTTATGGTGTAGATTTACACTTTCAAGAGCTCAACAAGAAACGAACAGGTTTGGTATAGTGCTTACCATGAGTACCCCCCTCCCGTATTGGACGTATATATTTAGGTCTTGTCTAGCTTCATTTTTCATCCCGTTAATATTTTTGATGCTAATCTATATAATATTTCACAAAAAAAGAACATACACGCTAGAATCACAGCTAATAATATAGAACAGAATGGATGGATATCCGAAAGAAGAGATAATGTTTATCAACAAAACAATAAGTTTTTACGAAAAAGAAAAACTTTAGAGAATAAAAGTTCAACAAACATGATTTAACAAAACTGTTTGAATAACAGGACAATAACAACATTTCAAAAAAAAAGTGTTTCTAATAAGATTTAACGGTGATCGTTTCAGAAAAACAAAAAAGTAAGAGCTTGTCTACTGTAGTTGAGCTAGATAAATAATCACTAAAATCCGTTTTATAAAATGCAAAAGCACAACAAAGAAAAATCCTTAACAAAAAAAACATGGCATCAAGAAAGAAAACTAATACAAAAAAATTAGTAAAATTTGCAACCAAGTACCAATTTAATGTCCTATTGTTGGAAAATGCGTTGAATAGGAAAAATAGACTATTCGTGGAAAAATCCCTGAGAAAAATGTATTTGTATGCGAACATCTGTTAAACTTAATCGTCTTGATATCTGACCTAGAAAATACGTTTAATATAGAAAAACTGACATTGAATAATGCAACGAGTCACAGATGTAGATTATCAGTACGGGAATTGCTGAGTTTTCGGAAGAAATATACTCGTACACTCGAGTAGACGCTACAAGGAAACTACGGCTAATTTTTAGAATGTTGAGTTTGATTGATTAGAAAAAATTAAATATGATTGAATAGTATCAAAACAAAATGAAGTGTACGTGTATAGAAAGAAAAAAGTTCAGTGTAACATCTAACAAAGACAAGCCTACTCCGAAAGAAAGAATTTCAAAAGAGAAAATAGGAAAGACACAAAAACATACAAGAGACAGTAGAAGAGCAAAACATTTCAAATATTATAAAGATTGTGAAACACACTGGTTCAATAATAAACACATTGTACACAGGTAAGAGAATACGAAAGAAGAGAACAGAAATATTAAGAATTATTTCGTTAAACTAGAGTTTCTTTTTAGATCTTGTGTTTTGTGCAATGGCCGCTGTCTCTTTTGCTTGTAAATCTAATTCTTCAAAATCCGATTTCAACCAGTCTAACATATCGTTGAACACAATTGCGCCACCATTGTTCGTGGTAGTAGCAGCGGCAGCAGCATCTTGACCTAAAAAAAGTCGTCATTGATTTTCGAAAAGTTCTCTATATCTGATTACAGGATAAATTGATCATTTAAACTCCTATATAGTATCACTTTTGCAGAAGATCATATACCGTATATATGTGATTTTCTAATATAATGAGTAGAAAGAACGAAAGAACAAAATTGACTTTCATACCGTCATTTAATTGTACGGCTTCTGATTGTTCAATTAACTCATTTAAATCATCTTCTTCGTAGTCTTGATCGTACTGTTGATGTATTTTATAATGTTGTTTCATTCGATAAGCACTTGGTATATACTGTTTACAAATTGTACAAATCCGTCTTTTCATTTCTTTTTTCACTGATGAACAACAATAATCAAATGGTAACATATCATTTCTTGTATGATTAATAACTACACCATGGAATTGAATACGTTGAAATAGAGAACCATAAAACTGGCCTTGAAAAAAAACATAAGAGAAATCGTATTGTTGAATACATCTATGAAATCAACACAATTCTTACCTTTTTGATAATCTTTCTCTGCCATTTGTATTCCTCTCGGCGTTCGTTCGAATGGTACAGGTGGTGGTAAGAATCGATGTGGAAAAACTTGAACATAATTTGAGCGCCATAGACCACAACATATTGGATTATTACATCGTACAATTTGAATGGTATATTGAGTTTGAAGAACATGCGTGGCACACCAATATTCATCTATATCATATTTTGGAAATTCACCTCGAGTGTGATATTTTGCATCCTCATCATCATTATAATGAGCTCGTACACGACATTTTTCTTGGTAATGTTCATCTGACGCATGAATACGAAATTCATGACCTTCTTCTGCTTCCTCTTCGGCACATATACTAGAAATCACATTTAGAAAGTTCACATCTGAAACATTTTGTTTCTCATAGAGCTCAATCGTAACATCAAAAGAAGCACTGCGTGTTTAATCTTCTAAAAAAAAGATTATTTCTACTCTATCTAATAACTTTTATGTTTTCATGACTAAAATCGCTAAACCTTTTTGAAAACACGTTCATTATATTCAGAGACGGAAAATTATTTCGCTTACCAAACTACTGTTTAACGGGAGACTTAAGCAGTGAGTTTGATGTTTTATAATGCTTAAAATCTCTTAAATAAATATTCAGTACTCACGTCCTTAAAAGACTGTCCATCACCATTATAATGTCAACTTGTCTTTTTTCTTCTGGTGTTGTTGCTGGTGGTTCGATATATTCTGCCACAACTGGATACTCATCAATAACTGAACCGGACCATACTTCAGCCAAAACTTCACCCGCTTTTTTGAAATTTGTTTTCTCTAATTCTTGGTTTATCGTTACGCCACTATCATTTAAATGTGTACCAAAATGATCATGAGGCAATATAAGACCAGCCAAATCATGTGACAATGGTGCCATTCGACGCTCAACAACATTATAAGCTGATTGTCCAGGTGCATGCGTTAATATAAAGAGAGCATCCAAATTATATTTACGAAATTTTCGAATAGCAGCCATTAACGTTTTGGGAAATCGTGGATTTTCATCTGGTCCACCGTCAACCGTGATAATAATCTAAACGAGAATAAAATGCAGTTATCTCTAAAAGATCATTGTTGAAGTAGAAAAATCTTCTTATCTGAATATTCTCCTACTTACAATTGGTTTAACATCACCATTATGATCACGTGCAGATTTTTCGAATTCTTTTAATCGTACAAGGGTATCAAAATCGTTTGCATGTGATTGTGCATCAGATCGATCATGTTTAGCTGATCGAATAGCAATATAAGTTGGACCCGAATAACCTACATCGCCTTCTGGACCAATCATACATGCAGCATAAACCGATGGTGTTAACTGATGTCTTGGAGCCACGGTCCAATCGTGATCAGGTAATCGCACAGCATAATCCAAATGCATTAGCATTGGTGCTTGAATTTTGGCGGCTGGTAAACCGATTGGTACTTTACATTTGTCATCTTGCGATAAGAAAAATATACAATTGTTACCGAATATGCCAGCTAAATCTTTGATATAACGAATTGTAGCTGTAGCAAAATGACCATCTTCATGTTTACCTAAAAATGACGAAAAAAATTTATTAATATCATTTATTTACATCAGAAAGTTTTACCATGTTCATCATTTTGAGCACGACGTAATCGAACGGGTACAGTGCGAACATGTCGACGACCATCGATTGAACTGGCACGGTGAGGCAAAAGTCTACAATAAAAGAAAACTATATGATTAGTAATAACCTTTCAAAATTAGACCTAAATATTTTCGACACTTCAAACAAAAAATCAAAGATTACTTTTCAATATCAAGCGTGAGAGAGAAGTACTATGACTAACATAGAATATTTTACCTGTAATATAACGTTGTTCGTTTAATGTCATAGCCCCTTTGCTTAATTTTTTCTCTTAAATCATCCAATGTTAAACATGGTCGAATGGTTTCTGATCGACGACGATCATCCGATGCTCCACCTACTTTAGCTATTTCTTCAATAATTGATAACAAATCTGGACATTGTTCTTCGATGGGTGGTCGACCAACTTGTCCACGATAGATTTTACTCAATTCTGTAGCCAATTCTGGATTTGATTCACACAATTGTTCAACTTTTTTTTTTCGTTTATCACGATACTTGTTTGATGCACGCTGTTTTGATTGTAGGCGTTTGAGTTCTTGTGCTTTTCTCTTTCGTTGTTCAACAAGTTTTCTTAACTGTTTTGCATTTTCAACTGTTGATAAACCCATATTTTTTACTTGTACTAGTGATGCTATACGCTCATTAATATCATTTAATTCACGTAAAGTTAATTCTTGAGCAGGTGCTTTGGTTTTTTGTTGTTTTGAATAAGGTATATAGGAAGCGGCTTGATTTGAGATACCGTTTGGTCCTGGACGGATATTAGTTGGTATAGTAACTGGTGCAAATGACATCGTTCTTTCAATATCTTCAATTTCAGTATCGGATAAATCAGAACGTGCACGTTTTTTAGCTTTCTTTTTTTTTGCTTTTTTCGGTTTTGGAATAACAGGTTGTGGTTCGGGTAAACTAGGCGTACTTGACCGATTATATATTTCCAAATATTCTTCAATTTTTTCTTTGACAAGTTCTTCATTTTTCTTGATGGTATTCCATTCCGTTTGAGCACTATGATGAGAGACCTAAATGAGGAAAACAATAAAAATAACTAAAAACTAATCATGGATAGTTTGTTTCAAAACAGAAAAAATCTTAATAAATACCTATTGAAGGTCTTATCTGTTTTCTCTCAAATTTATACACAAATCATAATGGGTAAAATTCACTCAAGAAAGAATTTAGTATATCTAGTGAGTTAAAAGAACTGATATCTAATATAATACTTTTTAACTCTCTCTATTGTTCCAATATAGAACCATACGACGAATTCTATTTTAGTATTTGTAAACCGATCTTTAGAAGACAGAAAGACAGCTCAATTTCTAATCAAAAGACTTTTCCTATTTAACGTGTGTTTACATAAGAAAATATTTGTATTTGATTTTCTAGGTAGCATTCTACGTCTCAAAAATTAAACTATTTAGTTAAGAGAAATTGTAGTAGATAATTTATAAGAATATTGCCGACTGGAGTCTCCGGCAAGAATTAAAAGAACCTTGTTTTCGTAGGCATTTTTGACAGTCCATGAGTGAGATGCAGAATTTTATGCTGATCACAAATAATAACCTTTAAACTTTAAAAGACTGAGTTTTCATGGAAATAGTTAAATTTTATTATTAGAGAGTACTGTCGTGGGTTTGACAGATTTTATTTTTTATTTTGCATTAGATGCTCCAAAAAATTCAAGATATCACTTGAAAACAGGCACAGATTAGTATTTCTCAGTGTAACTCAAAGAAATCTTGAAACAATACGAAGTTGATATCATGTAGACAACGTTTCATACTCTATCGGATACTGACATTATCGAAAGAAAAATTATATACTTTTGTGGAAAATTGGGATTTATGTGATTTTAAGGAGTTTTTGCTAGTATTTCGTGACTTTCGTTATCAAAACAAGACTTGATGTTCAAAGAAGTTTATATTTGAAATACTCAACTTTTTTAAATTATAATGGTTATTATTTGTGATCAGCATAAAATTTGGCACCTAGCACATGCAGTTTCAAAAAAATCTACGAAAAAAATTTTTTCTCTGAATTCTTGAAACAGACTTCAGTCATGAACAATTTTATGAAAAATTTTTCGAGAAACTAAACAATGGAAAATAGACCTAGTAACTCCGTAAGACGTTTTCCAACGAAAAGAATCATTTGCATTGCAGAACACAAACCAGCCTTACCCGCCCATGTCCTGTATTGAATTCTGTTCATTTATCCGTAGAAATCTTTGTATTTTCTTCAACTGCTGCTAGAACTATTTGTTCATCTACTTTGTACTTATACAGAAAAATATTTGTATCTTTTGCCGGTTCAGTCCAAATGAGAAAACAAAGTTTTCTGAACATAAGTGAAAAATTCATAGAAAAATGAGGCAAGTGACAACTATTTATTTATTCGATACGTTGCGCCATCTGGCTAGTAATCGATCGCTACTAAACTTCAGCCTATAACGATCAAGATATCCAACAGACCAAGTTCAGTTCTGTCTTGTCAAAGATCAGACTGATCAGAGGATGAAGTATCTTCTTTTTCACATGGAAGTCTATTTATCTTCCATAAACATTTCACATCGGACTGGTTCTTGTTCGAGTTCAAAAGGCAGAATTAAGACTACAAATTTTGAGACCAATACGGCTGTATCACCGTTACTTTCTTTTAGCAAATTAAAAGTTGACTTAAAAATAGAAATAAAATAACATTTTAGTTGAATCTATATTATACGGTCATTGTTTCGTAAGATCATATATACAGGTATTACATCAAAATGAAAACATTAATAAATTGTGCATATATATCTCTACATCTACACTTTTTCTTTTCTTTCTTAAGTGCGGTAAAATGAAAAGTAAACATTTTTATATTATGATACTTTTTTATATGGGTGAATACTATAGTACGAATAACTTTTCACAAGTTTTTTTTAAACATTTTCTGTCACAAATGTATCCCATGAAAAGTTACACTGAGATAGAAACAAAATAGTTTCATCATAACATGTTCAGAAATCTTTTGAAAAATATGTATGTGTATATAGCAGTACGAGTCAAAAATAAAATCAGAAAACGCGTTATACAATTTTGATATGTTGACTAGTGAACGAGAGTATAGTATTCTAGGATATTTTTCTGAGGACGAAAAATGTATTCATCTATCGCGTATCAGTTATTGATGCTTCTTCATAAATAAATTTTATACACGTAATTACAGAAAACACGATACTACACTATGGACAGGGGTCACAAACTCACTTGCAGTAATCTATTATTGAACTAGTCTACCCCATAAGATAATTACGTAGTTAATTAAATTTGGAAATATTAATCAATTTTTTTAAACAAAAATACTTACACATCGTGTCAACTGTGGATGCCCTTTCATATAAGCATCAACAAACGATCGATAAAGACAATATCGTGGTGTTTTATTAGCCATCATGATTAAATAATATTTTAAATTATTGTGATTGATTAAAAAAGAAAAATGCTATGTGCTCTTTACTGTTGATTTTTTGCTAGCGTTTGTGCCCAATATAAATAAAAACGGCAGTGTCCACAATACTCGTGACCTGACCTCGATCGGTCATGCGATAGAAGCCATTTTTCTCTATCAAACTCGATTTTTTTTATTGGTTACGAACTTTGACTAATGAAAATTAAATCCATTAATGAAATACTGTTGTATACAACGGCAAGCATTCGAAAACACATAAGTTTTTAGCTTTTTAAACAGAATTTAACTAAGTTTTTTTGGAAGACCTACTTACTTAGAGACTAGCGGCATCTTCTCAAGTGTAGCAAATGGTTCTCCAGTGGTGCCACCACTATTAGGTTGGAAACGGTAGGAACACAGCGTTAAGAACAATGTGATTTCTCATTGATAGTATCGTTTTGTGCCGAACCTTCTTAACCTCACTATTTTAATGAGAAATCGTTTTTGTGACTATAGTCATGTAATGATTAGGAACTTGATATCCACTATGGTCTATATTTTTCCTAGCAATACCTTTTAAATTTGGAAGCCTTGAAATTCCCAAATCCGTTTTTCCGATAAAAGTTAATTGTGGACATGGACAGCTTCTAAACAGCGGTAATTACTCAAGTCCACAAATAATGAACACTAACGGATAGATCTTAAGCGATTTATCAATTTTTATCTTGGACTTAACGCTGACTTTTACATGAATGACTCATACATATTTACATGCAAGCTGGCGCATATCACCGAAACAAAAAAATATAAAGTTGGTTTTGATTTGCTGAAAAGTGTTTTTTCGTATTCAGCACACTCGATAATTCCGAAGATTTTTTAATTCTGGCGAGGGGTACTTCCAAAAGTTTACGAAAAATTTTGAACAAAATGGCGCAAAAACATTTCCATGAGAGAACAATATTAGTTTGAAAATTTTTCCGAAACTTTTGGAAGTATCCGTCGCAAAAATTAGAAAACCTTCGGGATTATCGAGTGTGCTGAATACGAAAAAGCACTTTTCAGCAACTCAAAACCAATTTTATTTTTTTTCCGGTGATATGCAGTGACATTGGCATTACTGATAAACATTCTATCTATAATCATGAGTTGTTAGATTTCCACTCCCAGGTATATGTTAGTCCTTAGGTGTTCACTTACTCATTGTTTGAATATGATCATTCACGGATGAGGTCTATCCACTTTTCACATTGAAAATTTTCTATCGACGTCACTAATGCAGAATAGCAAGTATTTATGAACACTGATACTTTTCTCCTGCATTTACTGTTGCGTTTGATCTTCAAAGTCAGAATGTTTTATCACCGTACAATTCATATTTGATGAGTATCTTTTTTTACTGAATAATCGTAATTGTTTCATAATTTAGTTGTACTTCATTCATCTTTTACACACAAGATTGACTGAAATTCTATTTTGGTTATGTAAGAATGATAATTAGATTAAAATAATTTATTTTATTCTCACAACGAAACAAATAAAAAATTAGGTTAAAAAAGACAATAACAAAAAGAAGAATTGAAAAGATTGAAAGATGGTTGGGTTATTCTGCGTACAAAAAAGTTTTCAATATTTCATCAGTTGGACAGAGAAAGAAAATGAAAGGGAATGTGATTTATATCGGTTAATAAAAGTGCATAGATAAGAGAAGAATGCTCTAGGAAGATGCATAATTGTTTGTGTGCATGCAGTATATAAGTGGTAAGAAAAAGGATATAATTTGATGATTCGGTAGTGGAATGCGAGCAACAGAAAGTAAATGAATCATAGGATGGGAAAGAACGAGAGAAATGAATCGTCTCTTAAGTATGTTTATCACTTGTACGTGAAAACATTCCTGAGGTATAGGAAAGGAAAGATGAAGAATGTATGAGAGTGAATCCGGAAGGTAGTTTCATGCAGCGAATATTTTTTATCACAATTGTAAGGTATGTTAAAAAGATTAGGATTTAAGCCACAATCTGAGAAAAATTGAAAAAATGAGCTAAAGTTTCATAAAGGACGGAAGTAGTTACCTCCTTAGTCTACTCTTTTTACTGAATAATCGTAATTGTTTCATAATTTAATTGTATTTCATCCATCTTTTACACACAAGCTTAACGTTCTACATCTTTCCTCACTAATATAAATTCTTCTGAGTGCAATGATATTTCAAAAGTCTAAATAATCGACAAATTCTACATAGGAACTTCCATTTATTATGCTTCCGTTAGTTCTCGGTTTTTCAGTTCGTTTCCAGAGTAAGATTAACCACGTCTGGATAACTCGAAAAACGAAAATCACTTTGAAATATTTGCTTTATGATGAAAAAGTCCGTTTTTTTGTGTAAATCAGAAATTCGTTCTGTTTTGAGAAACGGTTAGTAAACACCTTAGAAAATATTTGCTCATTTCCACTTTTGACTTTTAGTCTATTGGCGCGTTCTTTGGTTATTATCAGTGTACACTTTATTTATTTGGAGTTGGTTTTGCTTTCTCATTTTGTATCAGCTGTTTTAAATCACGGCGAAAGTACAATAGGTAACCTAATACGAGTTGTCATCTGATCTAGTCTTTAATAAATGTAACAGTCAAACAATTCTTTTATAGCTCATAATGTTTTCTGTTGTGACACTCTCTGTTTTTCTATACTATACTCAAAGTTTATTGTTCAGTTCGCTCCTTCAACGATAAACCGAACGTAAGATTTAATTAAAAAATGCGAATCCATCAATAAACGCTATGCAAGCTGCCCATGAGATCCATAGATAAGATAAATTTGATTATTCGTGTGGCAGAATGTCGAATAATAATATCTATTAGGCCATTATTGTCACTAAAAATGTCTAGGATAAAAAATGTATCGGACTTCAAAGAAAAACAGATACAACATTTTAATTTCAAAAACAGAAAACAGAGTTGAAAATAAGAAAAATACAAAAATCTTGAAAGTTTTCATTTTGTTGATACAGCAGTTGTTGTTACAACCGGATGTATTGTTTGGGCTTCATTTAATCCTTGCCATTTTTGAAAAAATTCTTCAATGTGTTGAACAGGTACACCTAAATTAGCAGAAAACAAGATAGAAAAGACCACCACATCATATAGGTTGATTGTACAATAATGTTCGTCGGCCTACTATCAGCATTTTACGAGCAATGATACAGAAGAAATAGTTTGTTAGTTGGTTGAAAAAGTAAAAAACGTTAAAATAACTGGCTTATATACGGTTCTTTGTGGATTATCCACTTAATTGACGAAGAGTTTGTTCCTTGTCAGGAATATTTTAGCATGGCTCACAAGAATTGCTTACCATCTTTTTCAGCTTGTTGTATAAGCTGTTTTTCTTTGTTTGTAAATGTGTTGGACTGACGTGCTATTAATAGCGTAATGGTAGTCATAGATGATTTATCGTAACCGCTTTGATTAGAAAAATAAAAACAGCATTCAAATAATTGACTAAAACGCCATAAATCATTATTCTCTTTTTTTCTAATAAAACCACTACGAGAATTTGTATTTGACTGTTGACGTTCATGCGTGGCCTGAGTACGAATGAATCTAGATGAAACTAAAGCTATATAAAGTAGAAAAGAAAATTAAAAGTGCGTCTTACCGATTTCCAAGACGAAATTGTGTTTCTAACCAACGTATAGCTTCACGAGCCTCACGCTTTTCTTTTTTCAATTCATCAAGAATGTCAATAACTGAAATACCAAACAAAATAGACATTTATGCTTTTCACATTTAGTACGATGATAATAAATTAGCAAATATCTCACAGAAAATCATAACTGAACACAACAGCAAAAATTCGGCACTATCAACCAAGTGCCCATCATTCAAAAATCTTTTCAATAGACAAAAACACTCGCTTATACTCTTTTTTACGCTATGTGATCTATAAACTCTAGTATCAAATCGGAGAAATATTTAGACCACCGTACACTTACCAACAAGTGGAATGATGATAATAAATCTTTGAGATTGTACTAATTTTTGTATTTCTGTTAAATTAGTACATAATGCTTGCGAGTCAATAACTAAATAAGGTGGTAGAGTAAATTCTTCATTTTTCAATGAATTTTCTAATTGACTTATTTCAGCCTAAAATAACAATGAATTTCTTAGAAATAGTTAATAAACTACTGATATCAACGTACTTGTAATCGAAGTTGTGCCATATCACGCATAAGTCGAGATTTTCGCTCATCAGCAACAGTTGTCTAGAACATACAAAACTTTAAGCACTTTACTTCATAGCAGTTTCATAGAGCGAATATTAGTTTATATACAACTTTGATGGTGTAGTTTGAAACGCTACTCAAACGAAAGATTTATGAACAAACATCCAATTTAAACTGTTCCTAACTCTGAGTTGCTAACGCTACTCCATATATTCCCTTCTTCCTTAATGAATTTGTTTAAACAATCAATTTTGAAAAGTTAACAATATTGTGAGCTCATTTTAAATTCTCTAAATGTGGGCTAATCTCAAAAATCGTTGATTGAATAATTTTTCAGAGGCTTCCGTAGTTCCTCTGGAGTATATGCTGAAAGACATAGGTGTTTCTTTCAAAAAATCTGCATTTCTAACATTATCTGTAATGGATTGTATTCAGAGTTTTTTTACTTTTTTTTTAACTTTTATTTGAGAATTCGTCTAAAGATTTTTACAACACTGAACAGATCATAACACGAGAACTCTACTATACTATTCACTGATGATATATCATTTTGTTCATATAGAATTAAGTAACTAAAAGTGAGTTCTTGAGAAAAATCTGTGAAATGCACAATGAATTGAAATTTTTTACCAACCCACAGGATAGTGCCATATTTATACTATATATTTCAGATAATTTCCTGAAAATATCAATGAAGCATTTACTTTGATAACAGCACGAGGAAACAATTTAAAATGCATGTTCATCCATATATCTTTCGTTTGAGTTATGTTCCAGAGTAGTGTTCCAGTAACAATATACAAACTAATATGAACTCTATGGAACTACTCTCCAACTTTTACTTCCAATGATAAATTCACGCAACATCACGAAAAACCAGCCAGCTCCTGCTTACCTTTGCTACCGTTGCAGCTATTTCTTCATCGTTTATTTCTGTGATAGATTCTGTTGTCGATTGTTGCTGATTCTGTTGAGGAACAGTACATATAAATAAACATTTTTCGTTATCATAGTGAAATTGAGACGAGCCCGATGATAAGGAACAGATTGAATAACCAAAACGACGTAATGTGCACACACGAATTATAGTCTAAAACAAATATGGGTATTAATCATTAAAGAATTTGAGGAGTCTGATAGAAAAAAAGTTTGGGACATCTTTCGACTAGTTCACGTAATATTTTTGATGGTATATAGAGCTTATAAACAAGAAATCGAAAATATTTAACTTTTGGCCACTACTTCACTACTAAACTAACATAATAAGAAATTTTGTTAACCTTACTTTTTCTAATTGTGTGAATGGTAATACATTATTCAAATCAAGTTTGAGGTGATTTTTATCGTTTTTTAGCGATGAAAATGCTCGTAATTGTAAATCTTCTTCCAGAAGTGGACCAACAAATGTTTTTGTCTCAACAAATTTATTAAGCATATTATGTAACGAAGAATTTGATGATAAAAGACCTATAAGAATCAAAAATAAAATTAAAAAAAAACCAGAAGAGACGCCATTAAACACGTACCGCTTTTCAATATATCTTTTTCGTGTGGAAGAAAATTCAATAACAATGCTAATTTAGACCATAAACCGTGAGAAATCTAAATAAAAAAAAGAAAGTCGTTGATGAGCACTACCACTACCCTGTGCCTTGTGTATTAAAGCAAACACGGACAATACGTACTGGAAGAAGCATTTGTAATAATTTTTTATTTGATTGTAACCAGTGACAAAATTCTTTAACAGCCAACAGTAAACCTTCTTTTTCAATTAATTCTAAAATTAATTTTGTTCCATAATAATCCTTATCTTGTCTAAAAGAGAAAAAGAAAAGCAAATATATTCAAGAGAACGTACCGACAGGCAAAGACGAGTTACTTTTCATTTTCATTCTCAGACATTGGTGTCGATTCTCGTTCTGTATCAAAGTCACCGGTTGTCTTTTCTAAAAGGTTCAAAAATATATGGTGACAAAGAGAGATAGAAAAAAAATAAGACTTAAATATTACCTGCATCTGATCTGTAAATACTAATGTCTGTATCCGTATCTAAGTGAAAATCTGCCAGTTTTTGCTCGATTTCAGCAGCTGCTTTTGCTTCTTTGTTATGCTCAAAACCTATAACACAAACATTTTTAACGCGATAGAAATAGATCGTACACAAGCTCATAGCACAGACTGAACCGAACAATATTAAAATATCTCCTATTTCGAGAAAATTTGCATTCGAATTATATGACTATTCCTACCTGGGGGCACTCGAATTTGTTTTTTTCCAATCAATATCGATTTAAAAGAATTTTCGTCGCCAACTGACGATGCACTAGTTCCATTAATATGACTTAGATCTCCAAATTGATCATCAAATAAAGACGATTGTTGTTGAAAATCATTGGATGAAAATGTTGAGAATAATTGAGTTGATAAATCTTTAAAGGAGAAGAGAGCTGGACCAGCAATACTACTATTTGATGCTGCTTCATTATGACCACCACTGCCAAATTGTTCACTACTTTGTTTGATTCTTTCCATGTATTCTTCTAATGCTAGTTTGATTGCAGCTTCTAAAAACAGACTTAAATCATTGTATCCCTTCAATCTCGTTATGTAAATTATTTCTCAAAGGAACTGTTGATTTTTCATTCGAGGTTATCCTTGTCACTAACAAGTTGTTGTTTTTTTACCTTCTGCCTCTTTTTCTTCATTAATTCCACTTTTTGTTTGTAATAGATTATTTTTTTTATTTCGTTGCTGTTGTTCATCATCCGTTGAATTGCCTGAAACGCTGATATAATCAGGGATTTCATCCTCACTACCTTCAGATGTATCAACGGATACTAAAATAAACAACAAAAATAATTTTATCGACTAATACTGTAAATAGATAGATGACTACTAGCATCTTTTTTGTAATCTTGATTCATTTTCTGATTGTTCATTATCATTTTCTTCATCATCTGTTATTTCTGACGACGATGCACTATGCCGACGTCTTCGTGACATTAATATTTTCAAACGACGACGTTTTTGAGCTTGAACCTAAAATAGCACGTACATAGTCATTAAAAAAACTTCGTTATAATCTTAGTAAAAATCATACATTTTTAGCTTTTTCATTTTCTTCATCAGAATCACTTGCTATAAGAGAAAAAAAAGTATATTAAAATTGCCATAGATAAAATCTCCATCCAAAAATCGAAAAAACAAAATAATGAGCGTTTATATACCATTGGGTGACGCAGTTTTCGTTTTAAGACCATGTAGTTGATAAAATGAGTTTTGTAGTCGAATAATAGCATGATTAACAACATGAGAAAAGAGTGCCACTGCAAATGCTACACAGGCAAATAAGACAGTTTCTAAAAAAGAAAATGAATGGCAAATGTAAAGTCAGTTATTTACTGTAGAAAGAATACTAAAATACTTTTCACTGTTCTGGCTCTCGTTCGTTGTATTCTATCAACAACCATCATTGAGATTGAGATCAGTTTGAATACGAGATCATTTGAAAGTATTGAAGACTCAGCTGTTGTAGATGAGGATGAAATTTGATGTTGAAAGGCGATGGAGGAATCCTCGTGTGAAGGTGACGACGCAGCGAATGTTGCCTGATGATAAAACATACACGCATTAAATTCATTCAATGTTTCCTGCCCTAGTTCTTGAATTAAAACACTAAAACAGAAACGGACTTTAACGTGTAAAAGTAAAAAGAACAAAACATGCGTGAGAGGAAAGAAAAAACAAGACAAAATTTGATATTACTTACATGTTATGCGAATTAAGCAAGTGTTCAACAATGTATAAGAAATGGATTAGAAAACGTCGAATTTCACGATTACTAAAAGTATAAACAAATCATCACATTTATTCACTGATCAATTTCTCATCTATTATTTTGAAAAATGCCTTTTGCTTCATACCTTGTCGATTCATTTGACGGTTTTTGATATTGTAAATTGAGATCTCGATATTTCTTTTGATTTCTTTGAAATATCAATGTTAAATTATCTTTAGCTCCGTCAAATGGTTGTTGAGTACTAAGGCAAAGTAAATAGAAAAATGTTGAATCGCATGAATAATTGAGACGACCACATAATGTTCCTAATTGATTCAGTGGCATTCCTAAAGTAACGAATAATAATAGACATATGAAAAATGTGAAAATATATTGAAGACATACCAATATCTGGATTCAATAAAAGTGCCATATTATAAAATTTTTCGGCTGTTTGTACAGAATATTCATATTCATTTTGATAACGGCTAACATCACCAAGACACATTAAACATTTATGGATAATTTTCAACAATGATTCTTTACGAACAACGGATGTATCCGTTTGAATTAATGAGGACGATGTTGTGGACAGTGCTAAACTAACACAACAGAAAAATACATTGATACAACTACAAGGATGTCGGGAGATGAACTATACGTATTGAATTCATTGCAAGAGATATCCAATCAAAATGAAATAGTACATGACTGAGATACTTGAAAAATATTTTATACCGTGTATATTTTCTCAAATTACTCACGTTTTTGTTCATCATTCAAAATTGGATAATCAAGAAATCCGTTTAAGTTTAAAATACTTTTGATTGCTGCACATAATTTAATTAGAAGATTAGAATAAAATCCAAACGTTGATGATAAATGCATTTTGTACATTATTTCTGTTTGCATAATAAATGGCGACGGTTGTGACTGTCCACCACGTTGTTTATGATTTCGTTTAACAATTTGAATTGGATCATAAAATACCTTACGCCACAATAGATCGTCGACCTTTTGACCATAGTCACAGGGATCTTCTAATATTAATGTTTCACAGAGTTGTTTAAGTCTAAACACAACAAATAGATAAAACTACATAAACAATCACTAAGACAAGAACCTTAATAATTTGTTTTTAACCGATATTTGAGTTTTGTCTAGAGATGTTCATAGTTTTTGGCGCTGTATGAAATTTGACTTCTAGTCAAAAACAGTTTTTTTTTCTCAGTTCTTTATCACAAAAGGCAAATAAATAGTTTTTTCTAAGACTAATTTATAGCTGATAACGTTTTGCCACGTTGTTTTTCCTACAGTTTTTAATATAAGTTGTCTGTAAACCAAAACGTGCTGCGTGAAATTAGACGTACTTTTCGCGAATATAAGCACATTCTGTTGAAAATAAATTATTTAACGCTTGATTTCCACTGTATCGATCATCTAATTGTTTTGATAAGGATATTACGCGACTGAAATAAAGATAAGAAATAAAAATTAAAAATATAGAGGCATAGGTGTTCATCCGATTTTTGTTCGTACATATAAGACTTTTTATTTTTATCTATCTCGGACATCGTTGTTGTAGTATTATTATTATTGGAATTCAAAGTTTCGACCATTTTACTATTGCTATTATGCATAGTTTGTCATTATCTAAAAGAAGGTTACCTTTAATCCAAACACTGTGTTCATTAAACAGAAACTGAGACCAAAAAATATTATGAATATAACTGTCGTTATCGCAGGTCTTTGGTTTTCCTCTATCGGAACAACATAACGAATCAATTTGCTAAGAAAGTTTTATATATATAATTGCTCATTGAGACCTTCCTTAAACGTTAAATAACTTACAGAAAAATTGAGATGTTAGCTACTTTTATCTTTATCTGTATGTCGACTCACTTCTTGTTGAATATGTCAGAAGTAGAATATAAGACGTTGCTTTGTTTTTAAAATACCTGAAAGTTTTTTTTGGGACGTGAAGAAACCTCAATCGTTTTTCAGAACATAATTTAGCCGTATTTTAGAATTAGAAAATTAGTTTTTTGATAAGAATAAGAAACTCTTAAACAGTTATAATATGGCTGAAATGGTTATACTCTTTAAACGTTTTTAACGGGCGGTTAAACCTTTTTTTGGGTTTTTCTCAAATGGAAAATACTCTCTATAGGGCTTTTTGAAATACCCTTTTTTTAGAGTGTACTAAAGGAAATATATAACCTGAATGAGACTATCTACATCAATTCGAATCGATCCCGGCTCCTTGGAGCTAAAAGGAAGCATGAGGAACACGAATAGATAAATATCCACACAAACAACGAAAAGCAAACAGTTTGCGTATTTTTATTTGTTGTTCTTATTGTTGAATTAAATGATAATCATCAGTGCATAAATGAATAAGTGGCGCCGTATTCAGAAATGTACTGTAACATAGAGCCCACCTTTAACATGCGAATGAATGAGTTTTGTTGTGTACTTTTGAAGCACTTCAAAGACGTTCGAAGTCTCTAGTTGCATATTCAAAAAATTGAGACGTGTCTGCTGTACAAACCACCGATGTCGAATTCACACATTTCCTTACTTTATTTATAAAAATAATGAAACGCATTATTATCACGCGTATATGGGCGATCACAAAATAACGAATCGTCTTGGCATACCGTACGAGATCGTTAATTACTTTTTAGATTTGAAAGGGAGAATTTCCTGCTTCACCAAATACATGATGTACACACCACATTCTTCGGCTACTGTTTTGCTACTTTTTTTATTGTATAACTATTTCAGTTTTGATCGCGTAGACTTAAACTTCCTTTTGAAAGATTCGCCATTTCATTCTCTACACTCTAAAAAAAAGGTATTTCAGAAATCCTAAAAAGTATTTTCCATTTGAGAAAAACCAAAAAAGAGGTTTAACCAGCCCTAGTCGAGACTCCCGGCCAAAGTCCCAGAAAAAAGTCCTGCCAGAGTCCCGCGGGACTCCCGTCACGGGGTCTCGTCGGGAGTCCCGCGCCGTGGGATTTTTGATAAACTTCTGCGGGAGTCCCGGTAAAATCCCGAAAAATCTAAACAAAATTGAAAAATGTCCCACAAGAGTCCCGGCAGGATCCCGTGACGGGAGTCCCTATAAAATCCCACAAGAGTTTCTCAGGACAGCTCGGAAACGTCTTAAACTAAATACTCAACTCTTTTCTGCATTTTGAGATCTCTTCGGACTCTAGAAAATCTATTCTCAAAAAGTTATGGCTTAAAACCCCGCTAGCTATGTTTCGATTTATTTTTTGGAAAAGTATTAC